TTTAGTTTGGGCTCTTTTTAGTGTGAACGCGACATTTTGGAACTATATCGGAACCAAAGTGGGAAAAGTACTGCGGTGTGAACGCACCTAATGTAATCATTGCGTAGGTGTGTAGTGTGATTCTGTGTACGGTAGTTTATTTATGGCATCCCGTTGGATTTTGACGTCATCTGAACAGGACATCGCACGCTCACTGCTTGATAGCGATCGAAGGTCCGTTTACGCCGGTTGTTAAACAACATCGTTATGGGGAAATTCAAGTTTGCTTCCAAATGGTTGGAAGATAAGGAGGAAGGACAATCAACATTGTATATAGTAAATGTGAGGTAAAGTTTGTCGCCAATGTAACCGGTTCAAACTCGAAGTGGCGATGAGGTCTTAAAATGTATGGAAAGGGTCTTAAAAAAGGTCTTAAAAGGTTTTACATTTGACTTTAGGATTCCTGCATATACCCTGATGTATAAAATACAATACAATACAATAAGTGGATTTTGCATAATAGGTGACCTTTAAGGACGTAATTTAACCTGAGAAATATGAAAAGTTATGCTAGAAATTAAAAACACCTTTTTTTTTACCAACCTCAATTTAGCATTTGTAGCAATTCTGTTCTATGCTCATTTATTTTTCCAGTATATCATAAAAGTTGTCCTCAGACCAGAAATAACAGTGCCGCAGGTGGGACTGTACCACTCTAACCCTCATTGATGCTCACTCTCCTGTTTTTCTCTGTGAGTCCTAACAGACTCTCTCTGTCTCGTTGTCGTCAACATCGTCGTTTAGAGGGTTGTGAATAATAATGAGGAATAACCGCACTGCTATGACTCATACTTTGAGCTGAGTTTGGACACATTTCCTCCGACTCCAGCGCTCATATGTCCTCGCGAAATGCCCCATGCACTCCGTATATATGTGCATGTATATATATAGTAGATATTGATGACCAAATTCAATTACATGATTACATTTTCAGCCCAAGCTTTAAATGATTTATAGCATTGAATTTAAATAGTGAATACATTTGCAGACAGTACACCGGTGAGGCAGTTGTGTGCGTGGGATATTGACCTGTGTGGTCCGGGCCAAATAAAGAATAACGAGATTCCGCATCTCTGCCAAGTGGAGACGTCCGCTGGGAGTGAAGGCAGGCTATCTCAGTGGAAGGGGAGCGAAGGATGGCGGGATGGAGCCTGGTGCACATTTATCAAAGCTTTTCTTATAATCACTTGACTGACTTTTGTTGGGCTGTCTGAAGGTTGGGTTTTCCTTTAGAGTGCACTCTGTTAAGGAGGTGATTGATTTCATAAGGGGGGACTCTGTCTATGTTGTAGATGTCATACACTTTGAGGAAATGTGGACAAGGGTAGATTTGTACTCACTGGTGTGGGTATTGTGTTTACAACTATCATTTGTTTTGATTTAACCATATTGGCTGATTTATCAACCAGTGAGCTAAGCATTTTTTCTTAATTAATATTGTTAGAAATGCCAATATGACTAGGGATGTTTGATCAATTGTCTTCCTCTTCTTAAGAATTTTGTGGTAAAGAATCAAATCATTATTGAGCCCGCCATTGATCCATTCCGTTCCTTTTCCAACGCAAGTCCATTTCATTTGTCTTTCAGCGGTTTTTACGTGCTCCTATTCCCTGAAGCTTAGGTTAGCCGTTTCAAAGGCCTCTTTCTCTCCATGCAAGGTCAACTATAATCAACTCTAGACAATGTCACCGCCTTGCATTTCCAGAGCCAGGCAGAGGAAGACGACTCCTCTGGGCTTTTAGGACCTACTGCATTATACCATTCAATTACTGTTCATTAGACAGTGTACAGCCATTAATCAGACTGAGATGTTCTGCTAGTCCTCGGCGGGGACAATGAACTAGGGGAAATGCATTCTGGTTTCCTGTCTGGACCACTGTTTAGTGGTAAGGAGAGAGATGACACGTTGGAATGCACTGAAGTTTTAAGCACAGCGCACATCCTAAACTGAGCCTCTACTCCACTTTCTGGGTCTGTTTTTAAGTGAAGTTCTCTGCTCCGTGCAGCCTTGTCTTTGAATTTTAAGAAACATAGGCTTTGTCAGAGATTTACTGCATATGTGGGAGAGTATTACGAATCTGATATATCACTAAAAGGTGAGAAAGCTGACAGATTTACCGATTAGAGCTGCATATGCATTGAATATGACTAGATGATGATATGAGAAACTGATTTATGTTTTCCAGGAGGCTAGAGAGTGGGAGGTGTGTTCCAGGCTGCGCAGAATACGGTCACGGGTGTCCCGGTTTTTCAAGGGTAGGTTCATCAAAGCATAAAGCCCGGTAGTAGCTCACTGGCAGGAGCAGCGGCGGCCCCCGCGTTCCCCTCCGCAGCACCTAATACACCCATAAAGAGACCACTAATACACTCTGCATTACCAGTTCCTCCCTCACATTGCATGTCACCGGATCCACAACCACCTCTCAACATCTGGGACAGCTTTGCGCCATGCTTTATGGAGACCATCTGGTTGAGTGGGTTTCTTGCCTCCCCAATCTCAGATGACTTATTCTAGTATTAAAGGCACCTGCACATCAAGGTGTGCCACGCTGAGAGCAGGGGATTATTCACTACTCTTTATATTTCCCATGTCGTTTGTAATTTGGAACCACTCAGACAGAATGAGAGGTATATGTACCTTGTTACTATGAAAATCCATTTTATTTAGAATTGCATGGTTTGACTTTTATTTGATTGATCTAGAGAAGAACACATCTGACAAAAACACAAAATAAGTGCTATACACATTTGATTATGGGGGGAAAAAAAGATAACATAGTTTTAAAACACAAACCAAGGCAATGATGTGAACTTGACATTCTCCTTTGTTGGGAGAATATGCCTTTCAGCTGGTTCAGGCAATTTCATTGTAATTGCCGGCAAAACATATGCTTTGGTGGTGGAGCATCTTCAATTGTTCCTTGTGAGAATTCCAAAGGTGGCTAAATGGAACTGGATGTGAGTCCCTGCACGTGGTTATCACTGTCTGCCCTTCAATCGGAGCTTCTCCCTGTCAGTGTGACACCGGGAGGATCACTGCATCCTGTGCTAACAGCAGGCTCCCTGCTTTGCTCACGTGTCATCCAATCTATCATAAGAGTACACAATACATGTACAGACACATGGGCCGAGTTACCTAACAGACAGGCAAGGGTTTTGCCTCATACGTGCAAGATTTCTCCGTATGTAGACATATCCTCTTTCAATTATCCTCCTACTGATAGCACTACAGGTTGAGATCTGTCCTTGTACACTCTTATACTGGCTGTGATTTCCCAGCTGAATATCAATGGACACTGCAGGGGGCATTTGAGATAAATCATTGCACATTATTGCTTGCACACTCCAGACTCACATACTCGTTTTCTGTCCCCATCGCCTTATATTGTTGCTGTTTATGAACGGTTCTGCATCATTCATGCCTCACACTCCCTAGCCGTCACCGTGGATCTGCAGATGACACAGATGCAAAGCTTAACAGCAGACTAAGAGCTGGAGAGGAGGGGAGTGGGATGTGAAAGGAAATGCAAGTGATCTGTAACACAATCTGCCACCTGCTTTGCATCAACATTTCAATATCTGGGACAGTTTTTATCCTTAAAGGCGGATATATTGTGTTATTTTCAGGTTCATATCTGTATTTAGACTCTCCTGTGACATGTTTACATGCTCTCATGTTCACAAAGGGCTTTATTTTTCTCATGTGCTGCAGCACCTCTTTTCACCCTCTGTCTGAAACCAGAGCCCATTGTTTAGCTGGCTAGCTCTGTTGTGATTGGTCAACCGCTTAGAGCTGTCCCGCCCCTTATTCTATCACGTACAATGTGTTGGAGCGCTAGCCAATAGAGATGCGAGTGTTACATGGTGATGTCACTTTGTTAGAGAAGTAATCAAATCAAAGGAGTCCAAAGGAGGCGTTTCAGGCAGGGCGGGGGGGGCAGTGTGTGGCAGAGAAACTCCCTCTGGAGGGAACTTTTAACCTTTGCAGACCATTCCCACACATCAAAACTTATATAACACACTACAGGAAAGGGGAAACCCCAAAAGCATAATAGGACTCCTTTTTATAGGAATATATCAGCGCAGTGAAAATAGGAAGACTATTCTAAAAGCAAATCTACCATCAAAGTACTTTCTCCTTCATATACTTTAGCAGGGATGTTCTGTCTTAACTTCCACATGTAAAAGTGAGAGATACTACGGGGTTCAGTTTGGCTGGAGATTCTCCTTCAAAAGTTACTGGCACCACGTACCACGGCTTTGTAATTTACGAGAACTGTTAGGGCTTCTGACAGAAGTTGTAAAGCATCTTGACTGATTGGGTAGATATGAGATGTGTGCAGTCATGGCATATTGTCGCCTATACGTGCGCAAGACATGCAGGGAGTTGCATGGCTTGCTCTGTCACAGATAAATTACACCACACAGTCAAATTAAGTTGTTGTAAATCACCTCGCGGACCGGAGACTAGTCCTGAGTGACGACCTTTACGCCTATTTGACTTTAAGTCTTATTTATGTTAATCACATCTGTATTATACCGACAGTAAAATTGTGTCATATCGAAAAGGTCATTGTTTTGCAGTGCAGCTTATGACAGGGACAGAAAAACACACTGGTTTTGTTTGGTACTAAGTGTAAGAAGTTTTTAAAGAGGAAGGTTTGACTATTGACTGTTTCCAATCTTTTTTCCATTTTGTGTTTTGCAGGAAAAATGACAAGTTAACATTCGTTGCTTTGATCTGCACGACATTCATTCAAAAGGTATGTACTAAATAATATGATTTAATATCTCATTGAGTTAACTTAATATTTAAAACACAATGTAGAGTGTAGTAGAGCTTCGTTTAGATTAAGCACAGCAGGGTTCATTAACCATGTGGGGATACAGCATGTCCCATATTAATATTACAACAACTTGTGAGCATTACAGATGCTCGCTGTGGATATTAAGTGCTTATGAAATCCCACCACAAAGAGCTTCATGATATGTACGACACTAAAGCAATCACATGTTGTACGGTTGTTAGTCCACTACAATACATCTTATGATACAGAATACATATTTATCCTCTGCTTTAGCCACTCATCCTTGTCGAGCGGATGGTATCCTTGGGGATGGCTCCGCTCAGGGAGAATGAGTGCCTTTGTTACTACATTAAAGTTGAGGGAGAATGTATGCTTTTATTCTCATTCATCATACAGTATACATGTCATGAAAGGCCTTCAAATGATGGCAGCTCCCAAAAGCAATACGTTTCTTCAGAAAAAAGACATTTACATGGGGGAAAATAATAAGTTCCAAAGGCCGCGTGTTGAAAATCAGCCATTGTGATGTGAGAGAGGCGTCTTCGTGTGATCTCCGCTGCACTCGACACGACAGGCTCTGTGAAGTGCACCACTGCCCAGTTACACATTAGCTTTGATTGCCAGTTTGTTTTGTGCGTAGCCCGTAGCTTTGAACTGCATCTCGAGATGAAAGCCAACCTTGTCCACACTGTGTCCACCGTAGACCGCTGCTGTTGCTTATTTGCTTCAGGCACCATCAAGGGCTTCGGGACTATTTTTTTCTATAGCTATTCACCACGCCGGGATGAGCATTATGTATAATTGATCATACAATACAAGGCGAGACAGCACCCCGTTTCGACTCCATTTTAATTGAATGCCTCTTCTTTCTTCCTGCATGTTATGTGGACTGTGGTCAATGTATGACACCACTGAGGTATATCTTTGTTCCGTCCAGCTGATAGACTTTGATATTAGTGGTTCCCATGGTGAGTGCATCTCTCTTCAGTGCTTATCCCTCTCTCTCTTTCTGTTTCCTCTACGAGCCACAGAATACAGTGTCAGACTGCTAAGGACCAGACGTCCTCGTTCTCTTCTGTCTCCAGAAGCCAGCTGCTCATGTATAAGATGAAACAGTGTTATAAACCAAATAAAAATGTCTTGCCTCTTGACAGCCCCACCGTGAATATATGGCCTCTTATTTCAGTGAATATATTGCATAATTATGTATGGTTATGAATATTACATGGAGGCTCACACTGAGTGCATGGTAAGATGCCTAATTGCAGAGTTTAATTATTAAGAAGCAAAGGTCCTGAGCGGGTTTTGTGAGAAGCACTTTTGATAAATTATTTTTCGCAGTTTTCTGATGAATTATTTTGGGGGCTTGTGTCTAATCGGCAGACATAGTGAATGGCGTAACTGCTCTTGAGAGAGACTTATCTTCCCATGGAGAGGAATTACTATGCTGATTAAATCCACTGAAATCAACTAATAACTTAATGATATTGGAGTGGATCAAAAGAATGAATCATCGCCTCTCAAAGTGGTGGCTATGAAAAACACAAGGGCACAGTGATGGGAGAAATGAGGGCTGTTGCCATTGACCTCAGGGCACAGATTTCATATTTCTATGTAACATGACGGAGAGAGAGAGAGAGTGTGCAATGGTATGTACTAAAGCAAACCAAAGCACCTCCTATTAAACACAATGCGGCGGTGCTTTTTTTTATATTTCATGTGAAGAGCTTCGAGGAAAAAGTCCAGAGAGGCTGACTAAACAAGGAATAATAAACTACATCTACCTCAAGTACTGCCAAAGCCACTAGACACAGTTGCTTGTACGACTACATTTCGATTGCTACTGCCGCTTCTTCTTCTCTATCGCGTACCATAACTGAGGCGCCCACACAAAACATATTCCTCCCTAGTAGAAATGTATTCAGTTCAAGTGCATGCAGAAAAAAGTTTAAGGCTTGACCCTGGTATTGTGTCAAAAGACATTTGAAAATGAATAAAACAGGCCTCTCTGCATGTTACTTCAACTACAGAACATGATGTATTCCTCCATAAAAACCTAATGGCTGTATTGCACACAATAAGAATCGTTGACCCACTTAATCACTGTGCTGTGACAGTGCGAAAGTTACTTTACCACAACTATAGGATCAAACGCAGGGTAAAAGCTGGGCCCCCTCCTACAAAATGCATGTTGGTCTAGCACTTATGAAATGCAGTGGAGCTGCTTTTTGCAAGACCAGCACAAATATGTGAATAATTGATTGATATTGATGCGAGGATCACCTTGGTGTATCCAGTAATTGTTTGGTTTTGAATCCTCCTGTGGAGGGCAGGAGCCTGGCCATCTGTCAACAACACGTCAGGCGTCTCACGTGGCAGGCACTCTGACCAGCTCAAACGCTTCAGTAAGCAGCCCCACAATTGTTCTCAACGTGATGTCAAATCAGCCATTCTGCTCTGAGAGGAGGCTTGAAGCTAAAGTGTTTCAGCTCTGTTTCAGGCAGGGGAATCGATGGGCTCACAGTAATAATTCTGTTTTCTTGCTGTGATATGATTGCAGTAATTATAAATGATGGATTGTAGTGTTATTCTCTATATAGCTCCAAATAAAAGTGTATGTATGGTACATACAGAACACTCTTTCTCTGTTACCTTTATTCAGGTAAATCAACCACAAATACTTCTTTACAGCTAATATCCAAACCATCTCTGCTCTACCAAGGCAGAAGAAATTACTTTTAGAGTGGTTTTACTTTCCAGCTAAATGCATTTTTTGCATAAAATTGGAAGTTGGGTAATTATTATTCTTATTTTTTTAAATAAAGTTATTCATATACTGTACATAAATATGTTGAGCTTTAACTTGAACTTTGATCCTTTATTCAGAAGTTAAGGTATTTGGCCTTTAAAAAAAGCAAAACAAAACCGGGACAGCTAACTTCCATCTCTTCATTAATGAGTACAGTAAGCAGTACACTGTGTGATAGTAATTAGGTTAAACTGAAAGGCATAATGTTAGTTTATGTTGAGAAAAATGCAACCAAAGCATTTTAATAACGCATAACAAAAGAAAGCCAGATAACCTTAAGGCAAGTTAACGGATTTTTCCTTGGTTTCTCTATAACCTTTTTTAGTAGGCAAACCGCTCCCGCTATTTTAACCAACAAATCCACACAAGAGACACTGGATATTTATTCACACGATAGAGCAGGACTTTATTGTTCCAAAAAGTAATTTTGAGCCCTCTGAAGATACGGTATTTTTCCTCTGTAGGGCTATTGGACAGCTTTTGTGCAGTAGAGCAATTTCAGGTTAGGTGCTTGTTATGGAACTTTTATAGGGCACTCACAGCCACAGCCTGAATAGAACCAAAGTGCCTATGAACTTTTGTATGTTGTGTGAGTGAAATGAAAATTGTTGAAGGTCATTTTATATAGCCATCTCCACATGCTCTGAGACCTGTATCGAGCCTCCTCGCAGGCAAGATGGACAGGTGGTGTTATAAAAAGACCTTTTTGCCACTGACATCATCCAGAGCCACCAGGAGGCCACTTTTCTCTCTGTCTCTCTATCTCTCTCTCTCCCTCCCTCTCTCACTCTGTTTCAGCCTGGTAGCTGCCCACTGACTGAAGCTAATGGCTGGACGAACGGCTAAAAGCTCTCAGTATGATAAGGTAATGTAGAGTCAGGAGGAGAGATAGTGAGAGGGGAGAGAGTGATATATCTGTGAGACCATACATACTGATTATCCAGTGATGAGGAAATTGTCTAAAAATAAAAACAAATGGAGAATGCTACATGATATCACTGCACCCAGATTGCTGACGGCAGTGTTTGCAGTCATATCCAGATGGTTGTGAACAGGGATGAACGGTGGGAGCCGAGACTTACTGCTGTCCTCTCGACTGACCTTCCCGATGTCACGCATGATAACACAAAAGAGAGTAGCAAGCTGTTTTTGAAAATGCATAATCAACTATGAACATTTCTGAACATTAAATAGGAAAAAGTATTCTTCTTAGGTTCGTAGTCTGCTCATATATTCAGTAATTCCTTACCTTTTTTTTTACTAGCTATTGGTGTAAGATATTATATTCATTTTGTATTATGATTACAGCATCCACAAAAGAAACTTTTATATTGAGCTTATGTAATTTGTTCAGCCTTCACTGTCTGCAGATGGTGCCACCAGTCGACATTACTGTTACACCACCCGCTCCCTTCTGTCGCTTTCACCTTGTCTTTACTCATTTGCCTCTCTGCGGCTCCTGTCCACCAACATTATTGTGCACGCACATATGTGTATACATTTATTTATTTTTCTGTTTCTTCCCCGCTGCTTCCTTTCCTGTCCCCCTCTAACTTCCTCTCCTTCTCCTTCCACCCCCCTGTTTTCCTTTATCTGCTCCCAGACTGGTTTGTCCTCAGTAAGACGGATGTGTGCATTCCCAGGGCAGATGGCCCTGTTGTTACTCTGTGTACCCGGCTCACACTTTAACACCCGGCCTGCTTGTCTGGCCTGACGGGCCATTGCCTGGGGAAAGGAATCTACTTCTTCACTGTGCAGCAAACATGTGTGTTGCGCGGCTAACCGCATGGGTGCTCACACCTTTTTGTAAGGCAGTAAACTCCAGCAGACTGTGTGCCAAGTACACAGATGGGTTCTTTCTTTGAGGATCACACTTTTTGTTGTAGGAACACTTCAATATTCGTACAATGATTTACATAGTGAGTCATTTATTTTGTTGTAAGGAGCAGCTTTTTAAATATTCCTACAAGGAAAGATGAACTTCAGCCAATGCAATCGTTTCTTAATGTGAATATCAAGTTCAGGGTCTTGATCGTCAGATTCTTTTCGACCAAATAACCAGTTTTGGACAGTTTTTTTAGATTTGTCCCAAAATGGACAAGAAATTAAACTCTGAGGACTCAAGAGTTTCTGGCAACTTTTTAATGTTATCATTCAGGGCCATCCTCAAACGCTCCTTAAGTAAACACATAATGTGAAGGTTTTACTCCGGTTTTCATTTTCCTATTATCTTCAATCAGTACCTAAGATATCAGTTTTATAATTGTACCTACTGAAGCTTCTAAATGTTTGTTTTTCTTTAGTAAATATTGATTAATTCAAGAGTTAAGCTTTCTTTATATATCATATGGTAAAATAGCCTAATATTCTCAACTCTCAGTTCTAACTGACTTTTTTTTACCCCTTTCACACGAACGCGGTTCCAGGGCCGGTTCGGAGCTGGAGCTTGAAAAGCACCGTTTTTTCCTGTTCACACCACAGCGGAACCTCCTCTAAGCTCCAGAATCCGGTTCGTTTCAAGCACCAAAAAGTTGTCCGTCTAGAAAGCAAGCACCGCATACGTCACGCTTACGTCGGATCTGGGCTGTGTCCAAATAACACGCGACATCTGCCTTTCCGCCAGCTTCAACATGATCTGTGTGAATGATCTGTGAATCAGTTTTAATGTTATACCATAGTAATTAATGCTGCAAAGCTGGGTATTTTGAGCTTGGCGCATGCAGAGGCTAACAACAGCTAGCTCTAACGCCATCGAATAGGACGTATATTTACCTTCTTTCTCCTACGGAATCGTCGTTGAAGTTGATGATGATTGTAAAGAACTTTTGAATGTAGCATATAACGACTGTAAAGTTGGTAGTAAAGTCTTCCCATTTGTTCCATTTCGTTTCGACAGAGCAAAACCAAAACGAGTAGCGCTTCAATACAATCTGCCATTGTTGTCGATGTGAGCTGTGAGGGGTTTCCGTGCGGTTTGGCTTTATGAAGCAGGCACGCAAACGGTTACTTCATGACGCAAACGATGACGCAATGACGGAGCACCAGTCGGGCTCTGAGCGGTGTGAACAGAGCGGGAGCTGAACCGAAGAACCGGTTCTGAACCAGAAAAGCTCTAGCACGGAGCTAGAACAGGAAAAGCCTTGGTGTGAAAGGGGTATTTTTGTGTTTACTCTGAAGCCTTAAGGGCAACATTAGTAGCATTTGACCTTTGTGGTTTATAAGATAATATAAGATAAGATGGACCTTTATTAATCCCCGTGGGGAAGATAACACATTCAACATTATAAACAACATTCAAAGTAAACCCCTCCCCCCTGGCTTATTTGACCAGCCAGATTAAGTGAACAAAA